TTATAATAGGTTATTTACGTATATAATATTCAACATACAAAACTTAGTAAATTAAAGATTGATCATTCTCTTAACTATGGCGAAATACTTTTAAATTCTATTATCTGAAAGGAAAATATAGTACACTCATCGCAATTAGGAATAATAAATTACATGTGTAATAATATGTTAAAATTTATAAGCATTTTGCTATTTATATACTAAGCACATAATAAAATTTGAATGACGCGAGAGATTTCATTTAAGTCAATGTTCATTAAAAAAAGATAATTCAATCAATTATTTTTAGTCAAATAAAAAGAATAACGTAGAAGCTCTATGTCAGATTATTTAAGAAAGATTCTAAAAACTTCGAGTGCATTTATTTAGACTACTCTAAATTAGTTAAATTATATTCTCTCAATTATTACAAAATCCTAAAGGAGTAAGTAATTAAGACATAGTTAATTTAAATGCAGGAATACTTAAAAATTGTAACTGTCAAATTGAATAGTCTATAAATATACTTCATTCTACTTCATCCTTATTCAATCATTCAAATCATAAATTAATCTTTTAATTCGTGCTAAATTTATCCATGGAGCCTCCTAGGAAGTTAAAGGGCCGCCAAATGGTTGAGATGGTGAAGATCAAGAAGGCGACGAATCTCTAAGTTACCTTTGCCAAACGCCGGGCTGGCATTTTCAAGAAGGCGAGTGAAATTAGCACGCTTTGTGGCGCTGAAATTGCAGTGATTATTTTTTCACCTGCTAAGAAAGTGTTTTTTTTGTCAATCCTTCTGTGGAAAAGTTCATCAATCGATTCAGTGGCCTAATAAAACAACCTCTTTCAGCTAACAGATGCATGATGGATGCTCATCGAAATGCTTGTCTCCAAGGGCTCAACTCACAGCTAAACAAGGTATAATCACTACCATGTCTTCATATATCTATACTATTTGATTTTTATAACTAATTCTTGAATTTTTTTTGGACATGATTATATATAATTAAAGCTTAATGCCCAACTGGATGCTAAAAAGAAGTGAAGTGTGGAGCTTAAGAAGGTGATGAAGGAGAATGCAAGTAAAGCCTGGTGGATGGGTTCCATAGATGACATGAACCTTTCACAGTTTCAGCAATTTCAAGCTGCTCTTGAGGAATTATACGAGAATGTTATAAAAGTCACCAAAGAAAAAGATGCTGAAGAGGACGATATTAATCCTAATTCTGAAGATCAGCTTTTTCTTGGAAGCTCTCCCAATGGGACTGGACTTCCATTTGAATCTATCCCCTTAAATGCTATCGTTGGTCCCAGAAAAATCGTTAATCCGAACATGAATAGGGTTAATTCCAACATGGTTAATCCAAACGTGATTAGGCCCAGCATGATTAATCCTAACATGGTTAATCCTGCAGCTTATATGAAGATGCTTCGTGACATGCTCAACAACAATAATCCAAACATTCCCTTGTCCAATTCCATGATTCCCAATAATCCAATCATGGTCTCTAATGTCATGCTTATCAACAGAAACCCTACAAACATGATGCTACCGGTGGCAAATCTGATGATCAACAATGATCAAAACATGGTTCCAGCCGATCATATGATGATGAACAATGACCAGAACATGATGGTGGGGGGATCGGATGCGATCAAGGATTAAAACGTGATGTATACCAATGGTCTTAACAATGTGAACATGATGCCAGCTACAGGATATAATATGACTCAGAATAATGGTGGAAACGGGTAGGAGTTTTTCTAAATTTGAAGTATGTGGGAATGTGTTTTGATTAGTAATGTCACAGAGTGCTCATACAGTTTGACTTTCATATTTAAGTTATATTATCAATGGAATGTAAAGTGATATATTTTATAAATAAAAGATCTATTTGCTTTCATCTTAACTCTAATTTTACAGTACTATATGCTACGCATGCATTATAAATCTTATATAGACGTGCAATGTTTAATACATATTAGGGCTTAGATTTCACCCCAAAAGAGAGAGAGCGAGAGAGAGAGAGAGCGAGAGAGAGAGAGAGAGAGAGAGAGAGACAATAGATACCAAGAATCAAAATGAATTTGTATATACATATCCAATATGTTCTATTAGATGTCATATGGGGTGGCAGGATGTCATATGGGGTGGCAGGTTCTTGAAAAATCATCCATGAAATATTAATTATTTACCGATCTACTGTTAAAACAGATGTATGGTGCGTAATGGCTGTAATAATACAATGGAAAATAGAATATATAGCTTGTGGAGAAGATATATAGTGGATATATATAGATCAACTTCGAAAGTAAAACACAATTAACTTATTCTTATTTAACAAAAAATTTTAAGAAAGACATGGCAATGAAAGTAAAAATAAATAGTAAATTAAAAATGCATTATGCAAATATGGATTCAAGTGCACATTATATTAAAATATCTATGCGTACTTAATAAATTTACTATGCAACGTGTTATAGTTTATATTAAAAATATGATATTTCAATATATTATAAATAATCGAGTGTTGTTAAAATAATATCTCAGATTGAAAAAATTAATTGAAAATTACAACCATGTTCTATATTTAAAAAATTTTTATAAAACATATTGTGCTTTTCCATTAGCATAACTACTACTTATGATGGAAATTGGGAGGAACCCTAATCTCTTTGGGGTCTGAGTTTTTTTCCAAAAAAAAAAAGCTCTCGAAGACAGATTTCTTCAAGAAAATATTAATTCCAATTGAGAATATTCGATTAAAAACATGACTATCTAAATCCTTCCATTTTTTAGCAAATTTATTGGGAAGAATGACGAGATTAATGAAAAAGCAAACATAAAAATTTAGTTAGATAATCCTAAAATTCTAACTAAAATATCTCTCGTGGAAACACTTTTAAGTCCCTATGGATTCAAATAGAGTATAAATCATTTTGAATCAACGTAGAGAAGATTAATAGAGAAGATGAGCAATCATCAAAAGCGTCAAGAAAGATAACATACTATGAAAGACAACTCACCATAGTGAAGAATTGAGCCAAATTGTAATAGTTTTATATGGAAGCTTCATCAAAACCTTTTATGGCTAAGGTTAAAAAGAGGAAAATGGTTATTAAAATAATTAGTAGGTTGGTAATTGTATGATATTCAGTACTTTGGGATTTTCTTATAATTATAATTTTTTTTTATATATATCATGTTAAACTTCATGGTGGTTTCGCAATATTCGCTATAATTTTATTACCAAGTTTGTAATTTTTTGTTGACTAACTTATTATTCATGTATGGAGAAACATGAAAAATATTTTCATTATCTTCCCAAATTTGATATATATATATATATTAGGAAATAGGTTAGTAATTATATAATACTGTGTATTGGGATGTGTAATTCAAATTTTATTCATCCTTGCACAGATGTTGACACTATTTTTATTATCTTGTCAAATTTGATAAGCAAGAAAATGTGGCTGCTAATAACTACTTCTAAGAAGATTCATCTCATTTCGTTCTACAAGCAATGATGATTTGGAAATGGTAAATTCGTATAACTTAAAGGTAATATTATATCAATTTTTAAGATTTTTTTACTATATATTTCAATGAGGTGATTGTAAAGCATTCCAAACAAATAAGTCTTTAAAGCCGATATATTTACAAAGAAAATTTGTCTAAATCAAATTATATATTGAACAATATAAAGTAAAAATGCCCAACTTGGTGACTAAGAACGAGTAAGTCATCAAAACAAAAAAAAAATTATATAAAAAATTCATCTAAATCAAGTTGTGTTGGATAGTGAAAAGTGATAATTTCCAACTTGATGATTCCAAAAAAGTAAGTTATTAAAGCTAATAAATTTGTATAAAAAATTCATCTAAATTAAATTATGTATTTGATAGTGCAAAATGATAATGTCAAACTTAGTGACTCCAAATGAGTAAGTAATTAAAGTTAAAAAATTTATAAAAAAAATTCACCTGACTCAAGCAATATGTTGGATAGTGCAAAATGATAAAGTCAATCTGGTAACACCAAATAAGTAAGTAATTAATCTAAGAAATTTTTATAGAAAATCTGCCTAACTCAAACTATAGGTTGAATAGTGTAAAATTATAATGCATAGCCTGATGATTCTAAATGAGTACGTAATTAAAGTTAAAAATTTTATACAAAAAATCCACCTAACTCAAGCTATATGTTGGATGGTGTATAATGATAATGCTCAATCTTGTGACTCCAAATGAGCAAGTAATTAAAGCAAAGAAATTTATGCAAAAAATCCATTTAAATCAAGTTATATATTAGATAGTGCAAAATAATAATGTCTAACCTAATGACTCTAAATGAGTAAGTAATTAAAGTAAAAAATTTATATAGAAAATCCGTCTAAATCAGATTATATGTTTGATGGTGAAAAATGAAGATCCTCAACCTGGTAACTCCCAATGAGGAAGTAATTAAAGCTAAAAAATTTATATAGAAAATCTCTCTCAATCAAGTTATATATAGAATAGTGCAAAATAATAATGTCCAGCCTAATAATTCCTAATAAATAAGTAATTAAATTTTATAAATCAGTTTATATATTAGATGGTGCAAAATGATAATACGCAATCTGCTCCAAATGAATAAGTAATTAAAGCTAAGAAATTTATATAGAAAATTAATCTAAATCAAGTTATATATTCGATAGTGCAAAATGATAATGTCTAATCTGTTGACTCTAAATGAATAAGTAATTCAAGCTAATAAATTTATAAATAAAGTTATTTGTTGGATAGTACAAAATGAAAATTTTCAATTTGATGAATCCCAATGAGTAAGTAATTAAAGATTAAAATTTTTATATAGAAAATCTATTTAAATAATGTTTGATGTTGCATAGTGGAAAATAATAATGTCAATCTGATGACTCTTATAAATACTACCCATTTTCTATCACTTCCTAGTAAATTATAAGCCAACTTTTTTATCTCTTCTTCACGTCGTCTTTTTCTTTCACTTTTAGATGGATAAGAAGAGCAAGGGTCGTCAAAAGATTGAGATGATAAAGATGAGTAACGAAATCAAACTCCAAGAAATTTTCACAAAACGAAGAGCTGGTCTTTCTAAGAAAGCTAGTGAATGGTCCACTCTTTGTGGCGTCGACATTGCAATTATTATTTTTTCCCCTAGTAAAAAGGCTTTTTCTTTTGCTCATCCTTGTGTTGAAAAAGTGATTGAAGATTTCATTTATGGTAATCCTCCACGAGATACTTCAGGAGCCATGACACTCATTGAGGTTCACTGCAACTCCAGGATACATGAGCTCAATATGATCCTCACACAGGTTTGAGTAGACCATATTTAGATTTTAAAACTTATTATACTTATTTGATCTTCCGTTTGTTCGATTAAAACTTATACTGAATTGTACTTATTATTTAAAACATATGAAAATAGGTCATGAATCAACTGGAAATCGAGAAAAATCGCAATGCAGAGCTTAAGGAAATACAAAAAATATGTGAGAGTAAGTGTTGGTGGATGGGTCAAAAACAGGAAATGCTTTTCTCAGAACTTGAGCATTTAAAGACATCTCTTGAGGAATTGGAGAAGAAAGTTACTAAAGAAGCTGAGATGATTATAATTTAGAACAAATTAAACATGATGCCTCGTGTATTAAACGACCCAAACACGATGCCTAATGTGTTCAACGATAATCCCAATATGTATATTCAAGGAAAGGGAAAAATAAGATTCTACTAAGTGCATTTCTTGACAAAGTCTCGGAAGGATGAAATTAAAAAGAGTTGTATACACGATGCTTGCAGTTTGTTTTATTTTATTTATGTTAGATATCTGGTGCCTTAGCATTTGGGTTTTCGTCATGTTCCTTTTCATTGTAGTGTTGTGGTACTTTCAAAGAGTGCAATAATAACATAATTTTTTTATCTATGCATTTATTTTTATTTTCAAGTTGAAATCAATCCGCTATTCTAAGAGTTGTAATAGGAGAAAATATTTTAAGTAATTTATTTTTAACTCATTAAGTCAAGACAAAGGTAACATCTAAATATAAGAAAATATAAAGTCACATAATCGTGCTTCGATAAGAACATGATCATCTCTGTGAATACCTTCAATTATGTCACATTTATGCGAGTTAGTTTTTACATTGACAATTATGAGTCTATTTTTGAATAAATACCTGTGTTGGTTAATTAACTAATATACACACATTAATTTTAAAATAATATAAATAACATTTAATTAAAAGCATACAAGGAAGTACAATCTCTTGTACAAGAAGAAATATACCAACTCTTCAGTTAAATAATGGTTGGTATAAGTCATATCTTGAGTTAGTATGAAATACAATAAATAAAATGAATTAACTATATGGTAATTATGCATCCATGGACAAATTACTAAATTTCATGATCAAATTTTTATACATTGTAAGAGTTGTGATATATTTATTAGATGACACTCTTGGTGACATGTATGTTCATCCAATTTATTGATGCGATAAATAAATCATGACGATGAATGAAAAGTGTTTAGTCATAATAAATCAATTATATTGGTTAAAGTCCTATAAATAATTTAATACTAAGCCTATATGGGCCACATGCATAAGCTCCAGCTAAGAAAATTCTATTAACACATAAATGCTAGCTATGAAAATTCTATTAGTTTGATGTGGGTAATTAATCTTAAAATATATCAATAATGAAATTAGGTAATATTCAGGGGAAATATTCTATTGAGAGTGCTTATCTAAGTATGTAAACATATCTATATATTTGGGAATATATCCCAAGTAGGGATAATATCTTCATTAAATGTTAAGTATGCAAACAAGGAAGATTTTATATTAGGACCAAACAATATTAAATAGAAATTTTCAATCAAATGGATCAAAGAAATTGGATTTTGTTTAAGCAGGCTCAAGTTGAAGTGTTATACAAATAAAATAATTGTAAGTCACCTTTTGAAAGTACTCAACATGAATTATATGAATTTCAAGTTTAATTGAATATCACATGCAATCGAATTAAAACTTTATTGTTATGAAGGTTAATCAATTGTCATAATTAAATTTAATTATTTAAAACTTTGAATTTTAAATGTGATCCAATTGATAGTTATAATTTGCAACTTAGATCCTTCCTTAATGCTTATAAATAAATTAAAATTATCCATTGTACTAATGATCAATTAATTTTATAAAGAATTCATCATAGCTTTTAAATTTTAATATATCATATAATACATTTTTATATTTTTTATTACTTTAACATAAATATTCTAAGGATTTTTATCATTGCAATTTGATTCATTGTGTCTCGTAACAAGAAACAAATAAATAAAATTAAAAGTAGGTCTCTTAACTTCTCAATCCCAAATTAATATCGAGAATATATATACATATATATAACATAAAAAATGTAAAATTTTCAAGAAGGTTCAATTTTCATATATATCCATCTAGCTATGTATCTATAAATGTTAAAACAATGATGATTTTGCAAATTGTATAAAAGTACAGCTAAAATTTAACTTTAATTGTCTAGATTTTTCCTATTGTATATTTCAATAAAGAGAAGATTCTCAAGCAACCCTAAAGATGTAAGTTATTAAAACAGAAAAATATGTACAGGATGTCTACCTAAAATTATTAATCACAACCTTGATTTAAATCTCCTATAAATATCACTCATTTCCCCCTCTTTCAATACAATTATTCCTCTCCATTAATCTCTCTTTTAATTTCTCTCTGCATATATTCAATACTTGTAACTATGGCGAGAAAGAGTAAGGGACGAAAAAAGGTTGAGATGGTGAAGATGAATAATGAAAGCAATCTCCAAGTCACTTTCTCCAAACGCCGAGCCGGACTTTTCAAGAAGGCAAGTGAATTGAGCACTCTATGTGGGGCTGAGATTGCTATTATCGTCTTCTCACTCGGTCAAAAGGTCTTTTCTTTTGGTCATCCTTGTGTCGAGATTGTGTTGGAACGTTTTGTTAGTGGTAGTCCACCACAAGCTACTTCTGGAACCATGAAACTCATTGAGGCTCATCGGAACGCTAGCGTCCATAAGCTCAACATGCAGCTCACTCAGGTTATTTTAATTTCTTTCCTTTCTAATAAAACATTTTCAATATAAATAATATATATTAATTCTACTACATGTACAGGTTCTGAACCAACTCGAAATCGGGAAGAAGCGAGGCGAGGAGCTTAACCATATGAAAATGACAAATGAGAATCAATGTTGGTGGATGGCTCCCAAGGAAGATATGAGCTTAACACACTTCAACAATTGAAGGCCTCTCTCGATGAGATGAAGAAGAATGTGGCTAAGCATGCTGAGAAGATTGTGATTCGTACCCCAAATAATCATCATCCTCATCCTCATCTTCCTCATCATCATCCTCATCATCATCATCCTAACAATCCTTTTTTCTGGGAAGTTCTTCCTGTGGAACAAGTCTTCCTTTTGATACAAAGCCTGCTGGATTCAGTTCTAACATTGTTCCATTAAACAATCCAAACGTGGTGCCTCCAAAGTATCATTGATTTGGCCAAGGATTCTTCTAAGTGAACTTTTTTTATTTATGTAAAACAAATTTTTAATTTTTCCAACACAGTAAATGCCTCAGGATTAGTCTTTAGATTATATTTGGTTTTAGGATTTTAGCTTCTAGTATGAGTAAGGGTTTGTTCTAGAAAATAAGAGGCATCTTATTTTATATTATTTGTTCAAGTATTTTGTAATCGTTCAATGATATTGCATCTAGTTCTTAATATAAATTTTCTTCCTTCAATCCCTTTGTGCTTGATTATATATATATATGTCTCTCTCTCTCAAAGATTCTACTACACTATTTCTTTTTATCTTCCGTTGTGACACTGTAAACTGCTACCTATATAATGCATTATGCAAATACGAATACAAGTGCTCGTTATCTTAAAATATATATGCGTACTTAATAAATTTACTATGCAACGTGTTATATTTTATATCAAAAATATGATATTTCAGTATATTATAAATAATTGAGTGTTGTGAATATAATATCTCATATTGAAAAAATTAATTGAAAACATTACAACAATGTTCTATATTTACAAAATTTTTATAAAATATATTGTGCTTTTTCATCAGCATAACTGCTACTTATGATAGACACTGGTGAGGAACCCCAATCTCTTTCGGGTTTGAGTTTTTTCCAAAAAAAAAACCTACCCTCGAAGACAGATTCCTTCAAAAAAATATGAATTCCAATTGAGAATATTCGATTAAAAACATGAGTACCTAAATCCTTTCATTTTGTTGTAAATTTATTGGGAAGAATGACGAGATTAATGAAAAAGCAAATATAAAAATTTAGTTAGATAATCCTAAAATTTTGACTAAAATATCTCTCATGGAAACACATTTAAGTTCCTATGGATTCAAATAGAGTATAAATAATTTTGAATCAATGTAGAGAAGATTAGAGAAGATGAGCAATCATCGAAAGCGTCAAGAAAGATAATGTACTATGAAAGACAACTCACCATGTTGAAGAATTGAGCCAAATCGGAATAGTTCTATAGAGAAGCTTCATCAAAACCTATTAAATCTAAGGTTGTAAATATGAAAATGGTATTTAAAATAATTAGTAGGGTGGTAATTGTATGATATTTTGTACTTTGGGATTTTCTTCTTTAAATTTTAATTTCTTTTATATATAACTTATTAGATCCTGTTGATGACTTGAAGGCCATGCCTAGGGATCTCTTCAATAATTTAGTCATGATTGAGTCAGATGATCCAATTGCAACACTTAATGCAAGAGATAATCCATACATAATATTTGATGCCTTCGGGAACCAAATTGCAACAATGGATATTAATCTGTCATATG